TTCATGGGTTGATTGCTCGCAGCTTGGTTATTTACAGGTTCGTTATTCACTTCCATTGGAGTATGTGAAGGTATCGTAACGATTTGAATTTGAGCCTGCAGAGGGTTATAACACATACTCGTAGAGTTGTAAATTTACTTCACGACGTATACTAGTATAGCCGTTAACCGAACTACAGTAGTGCCACGCGAGAAAAAGCAATATGATAGGCCTCGACCAGAATGACACCACAAGACACCAGTAAGCACAAGCCGATTTATCTCTCAAACTTGGGTAATTAAACGAGCAAGCAGTATTATATGTAAAAAATCATAAAAGGCGATATGTGGGGTTTAATGCTGAGATATAGAGATTAACGCTGGAGATTATAATGAGCAAAAGAGGAAATAAGGCATAATCAGGATATAGGCTGGTTAAGTACGGTTAACTAACAATATCGAGTAGATGACAATCTTATGAGCAATCTCAATAATACAGAGAGATATAAAAGAAAGAGATTTACGAAGAAAATGAAAATGAGATAAAGCCGGGAAGAAACTGGAAGGAATCTGATAGGGTCGTCGTCCGTTGTCGTCTGAGTCGTTGTTTATGGGAAGACGCGGCTTTGTGCCTTTATATGTTGGCCCACAGCTGCCTCTCCTTTTTGCGGCCGCAGGACGCAGGACTGTAGACGGCCTTCCACTTCTTCATCTGTTGAAGCACTGCACTGTAATCTCGGCCTGAATCGATCGCTTCTGAGCGACGATAAGTCGCATAGTTACGCGACTTACGTTGTGGCCTTGAAAGGTAGGAACAGTTGGAAACTGTAAATCCGGATTTGGTGATGGTTTCGCTACTTGGTTGTGGGGTCGGAGTGCGTGGTGCTTCGCTTGTTGTATAAGAAAGCAGCGAAGAAAAACTGCTATCTAAGCGAGGGGCGGTTGATGTTAACGGCGGTAAAGATTGTGCGCGTGGGTCTAGGTCCCGAGTCAGAAAACGAATAACGAATAAAAACGAATAAGAGAATAACGATAGAATTAGCTGGTTGAGGAGGTGTGGTGGGGTTCTTGAGATTAGGTTTCTTTGGAAGTGAGAACTTAGGCAGGCAAAATCCAGAGCGCCGCTTAGCTGAATATCTCCCTTGTGCTAGTCTATGAAAAGCTCCCGTCTGAATCTGTATGTAATTCAGAATCGGTAATACTAATAAAAGGAGGGTCGTTATACTTACTTTTGACACTAGGTACTATTTTTTTCTATTTTATTAGGTTATGTTGATTACCGGTGTACTGTAAAAAGTCTACTAGATATCAATGGGATAGCTCGTGAAAAGTCTAACTCTGAAAAAAGATAAGAACCGTCGCAAAAAAAGAAATGAAGGAAACGAAGAAAGGAGAAAGTGTTAGAGCTAACTTTCAATCCTAAAGACTCACTAATCTACAAATGGCTCGGGAAGTCGGAGGTAGAGGTGAAGTTGACTCTTGACGGTTTTGTGTTGGTCCTTGGTAGTTGGCTGCCGAGAGCAAAGGTAGAACCAGTTAGTCCAGATTAAGCTAGTTGTTCCGCATGAGTTTGGGGTTGAGGGTCAGCGAGTATATGTGGGCTTTCTTTACACTGAGTTAATGAAGCTCCACCCACAAACGACGCCGCTTGCCCGAGCAACGTTACGTAATTAGCACCCCTCCATTACAAAACGGACTGGCGTGTGTGTGCTCTTCCTGTCGGTCAACAGGTTAGGTTATCGCCAGTGCACAATTTGCCCAATTGCACAATTTGCCATAGCATTGTATGGCTTGCTAAACGGAATAATTTAGTCCTACGCACTATCCTGGGCATGGATGTTTTCGCGAGGATTTGCAACTCTGTTAGTGCAATATACCTTCTGTGGTCTAAAGGTGAATGAGAGTAGCTAAAACTCATGCTTGGCACCTTCGTCGTGCATTGATGCTCACTTATTTGGAATTGGTGCCCTTTGCGGCCTGTAATCATGAAATTATACTCGGCAAGTACCCACCCTCACCGCTGTAAACGCCTGTAACTTACGCTTCAACACACTCCAACTCATCCCGATAGCGTCGAAGCATCCGCGCAACACCCTCACCTCTTCTTCTTCTGTACCTCCTGGACCAGTGCGCTTAGTCATCTCCATTCGCTGACAAAGTAGTCGAAAGAAAGCCAGCGCCCACACCACCCCGCACGAAAACCCACCCGCACCCACCCACCCACCCCCCCCGCGCTCCCCCCACACCCTCCCACCCCCCAACCCCCCCCCACACCCCCCCCCCCCACCCCCACCAACACACCCCCAACACCACCCCCCCCCAACCCCCCCCACACCACACGCCCCCCGCCCCCCCCACACCCCCCCCACACCACTCCACCCACACCCCACCCACAACCGTCCGCCGGTCCACTCTCCGCACTTTCCCCTCCTCCCCCCCACCACCCACTGCACACACCACACCCCCCACACACACACCACCCACCACACATCCCCCACCAACACCATCACATGAACGCAGGATAACACCGAAAAAGCCCCCCACTAATGAAAGATTAAAGGTTAAACACACACAAAAACCCCAGCAATCATCTAGAATCGGTGACTCTTATAATGCTAGAACAACAGGCAGAACACAAACCACACCGCTTGCGGCTGACCTGCAAGCTTTTTTGCTCTTCACCGCAACGCCTAGGCTTTCTTTGTCACCGAGCGGAAGCCGATCAGGTCTGTTTGCACCCACTACTCCCCATAAACTTTTCGATGTATGGGGAACCGGCCAAAATAGGGCTTGTCGCCAGGACTATAATAGCTCAGCTTGGTAATTTGAACCAGGATGCGTGCTGAAGACTGTTTATGACTCCGCTTTGAAATACAAAACGCAGGCGACCACCGTGGCAATATTTTATCTACCGTAATGTGACATAGAGAGAGCGTGAAACGGCGTGGCGAGAAGTGTCGGCGCCCCTAGCCACGCAAAAGGCTGACGTGCGGCTCAGGCACAAAAAGAAAACTAACCAGGTCTTGACGGCTGCGCCTCCACCACGCAGTTCGAGAGCGGAGCCGCGAACGCATTGACCCATAGACACCCCTGCTAAAGCGGACGGGAGCGTCGCTTGTGCGCACACGACCGTTACGGTTCATCGTACGTGCAATCAGTACAACATTTAAAACTAGACCCATCCTCAAGACAAGACGCTAGCACGCGTCTTCCTCTACTGTTTTTTTCTCAATTTCTCTTTTGCAACTCAGAACAAACATTGCTTGTCGAATGGTCTACGGTGAATCGTCGCATATCCGTACGAAGTTGCCGTCTTCCGCGTCTTCGCCCCGTGTATCGCTCGACCGTTAATCAACGCACCGCAAGCGCGGGGGCGCGGTTGGGAGAGAACGGTGCGGTGAATTGGAGGAAGACGCCTCATCTCAGAAGTGATCCGTAATTTTTATGAACCCAAATTGGCTGCTTAGATAAATATTATGTTCGAATGCGTAACAGTCACCACTAATAAAACACCTGAATCTGCCGGAACGCCCACCGTCCTTATACAGATGATAGCTTCGGCCGACCGTCTTACTAAATCTGAGGGTAGTGGTAGCAGTATTCATCGAGCAAAGCTTTTAGGCTATATCACACTTATTATACCAAGCCATGCATGATAAGGATGAAAGGGAAGGATCACGTGTGAGTAGTAGAAGGACTGGGGGGGCATCCGTGGGGCCCCCGCGGCGGTCCGACCGCACCCACCGCGTTCGGGGGTTGAACCATTTCACATGGTAAAGTACCATCTACCACTGTCATCTGTCGTACGCGTCACTACATGTTCCATTGGGCCGCGAGCTTCTACCGATGCCCGTATACCTCGGGCCCACGCTCGCATCCCCACGGGCAGGGAATGGGCACGACAGGGGCGTGAGACTGAGAGTGCTTCGACCCTTTTACACCGACTGCTCGTGGTTCAGTGTGTAAGACTGGACATGGTGAGCATATAGGATGAGCAGGCAAACTTTATGTGCTCAACGCTTGGAAAGTACCTTTATACATGGGCATATTTGTTTAGCATGTGTACACCTCCCCCCCCAAAAGGATGGGTTCGGGGCCATCATCGGTGACGATGATGTATCGCAGGCAAAGAACAAGTCACAACACAACTCAACAACAACACTCATCATAACTTTTCGTAGCACTGGGAACAAAGTCGAAGGAACATCAAGACTTCAATTATTCAATATTCCCGCACGCGCAGCGTTTGCCAGGCGCTGCACAAATCGCGTACTTATTGCACTACAGTAAGCAATAGTCGGCAACATTATTTGCTTATTCGTTTTACTGGAGTTTGTTCTGGACATTTAGTTGTTATTTGCTTTGTGAGCCATGAGCTCACCTCTGTGTGATTGAGACGAACTTTGAATTTCCGCTGAAGCCTCCGTTTTTATTTGTAGCGTATTTTACGAAAGCCTTGTCGACTTCTACTCAGTACTAGTACTCGTAGCAAACGAATTCGTAGCCTGTGATGATTTCGCAATAACTTTTGCGCTTGCTTGATGTTTTCACGCTTTCTGCTCAGTCTTTTTTTCAGGTAACATTAATATTTTGGATGGGGGAAGAGGTTCGCCCTCTTCGCCGCACGTCAGCAAGACGACGGCATTCAAGGGAGTCATCAGAAGGTGTCGACGATTTTGAAGAAGATGATAAGGCTCACGCGAGGTGCTCGACTTCATTTTTATAGGCTGTAATTTTCCGTTCTGCAGTAATTCCTCTCTATGATGCTGACTTATCACAGCGTTTACATACTTCGAGCCGTCGTACCGGGCCTACCTCATCATTTCATGAATTCTTTACAGTGGTTATCAGCAATTTCGATTTCTTATTTTTAAATGTCCTCAAGGTACGAAAACATGTTTTGGCAACACCGGATATATGAAAGAAATACACTGACACATAGAGAGATGTGTATGACTGCGCATGTGTGTCAACGTCCGCGACGCGTTGAATTACTTACCGTAAAAACGAAGTGCCATTTCGGTTCAACAGCACAAATCCATTACTTAAAACAAGTTGCTTTACAACTACGCCCTGGCTGCGAGAGGGCATTCAGCCTCTCCCAAATACCCCTTCCACCAATGGCGTTGAGGGTAACGCCCCAGCCGAAGGGTCCACTGCCTCTAAGTGTTCTTGTTTAATGTGAACAATTTAGTGTCTCAATGTACGCCGTCAGTTGCCAACATGTTAGTGGAATCAGGTATAATGTAGCTCGTCACTCGGATCCAGGAGGATGCAGTCTAGGGGACTGGTAGGTTTCCCTGTTGATTCAAAGCCCTTTCTCTGATAGATAAGTTGTTGTAATGCGATTCAAATGAAATCTCCTGTTACAGTGCAGTGCGTTGCCATGAAACGCGATGTTTTTCCATGGGAAGTAGTGCACTAAAGCCGCTCCGCTCACGTCTACTCTGCCCTCCTAAACTGTAAGAAACATTTTTATGCTTTTTTTTCCACATGTTTGTGCAATTTCGCATCTCCTGAGGAATGGAATCTTTCAGTTTCTTCCATGTAACGCCACAAATTCGCTATGTTAGCGAAAGGATTATTGAAGTGTTCACAGCTAACAATAAAGGAACAATTGAGGTTAGTGAATATACCCATTCTGGTGTTACTTCGATATAAGGCCGGTTTTGTAAAGTACTTTGAGCATAAAGGGCCGTTTTGCTACATTCCTGTAAAGACTGTGAAGCGTCGAACTAATATGATCTTCATTTTCATGCTTGTTTCTTCATTGTCGAACAACACGTAGTAGAATCGTCGTTTGGCGCTCCGACACTCGGAACACATAATAGCGTGTCTTCTAAGGAGGCAACTCGTCCGAATCACTGAACACCTGAGTTTTCCTAACTGCTGACTAACAGATGCCCTCACTGATGAGAACTAGCCCCAAATCGAAAGGTGACTGCTTTATGTAAGTCACGTCATGGATTTCAGTGGTTCAGTAATTCGGACGAGCTGTCCAACTTGGAAGGCAAGTCCCTCGACACTCTAAAAAGTATGTCTGCATTCTCCATTTGACCTTCTCAAACAGTGGGGCAAGGTGCGGAAATGGCTGTGTGTCATCAGGATATGGGTATTTGTGTTCGAGTTCGGAGGGTAATAAGCTTCGGGGCTAACCCATTCCCTCGTGCAAATTTTACTTTTTCTTTATTTCGTCATGGTTAGCTCGCTTACTTGTACTAGTTGCAGGACATTAGAAGCTGGCCCGATATACTGACAGGGCCTCATAGAATAACCTAACAAACTAGACTAGCGCCCATTTTCTTGACATAGCAGTTCGTAAGTTCACATCTTGCAGCTTCACCATATCCTTCACCCTAATATGCCTCGTTTCGTGGAAAATAATGTTGAAAAAATGGACTTGACTGACGGGCTACCGCGTCATCGGATCACTGCCAGAGATGTTATAGATCGAACACCATTTTCGGTTCACGGCACATTTCATGGTAGAATAGTCATCGTTAAGGCGCTCTGTTCGTCGGATACGGAGAAGTGAGTGATATCTCCTTTCATATAGCGAGCATTACCAGCGGTGTAGGCGCGGAGTGTTGCAATTTAGCGGACATTGGGCTTTAGCCCAGTACTTCACAGAACGTACGGAAAGTGAACATGATGCCAAATACTCCGTCTATATGCTGACGAGCTAGATACGTAATCTTCATAAGAATGGGTTCATACTTTGCATCACCGTCTTGAGCGTACGGCAGCGTTTTGAGTATTTCGCGATCAGGCGCTGAAAACGCTGCCATACGCTCTAAACGCTATATCAGATTACCTTCCTCCACAAGCGTGGCCCTTCAATAACGCGTCGAGCAAGAGAACTCGCCCCTCTTTCCTACTCCGATCAACCATCAGAAATAGTGAAATTGCCGTGATACTCTATAACGGAAAAGAGGAATGTAGGCTGAAATAAGTTAAAAATCAACGCTCAGTGGAACTTAACAAGCCCACGACATACTACGACGTGGAGTACTCGGTTCGCAGCTGGTCCTTCGTCCGTCGCCAATTATCCAAAACTGCGGATTCTCCTCGTTAACAAAGTATGAACGCGGTATGGTGGCTGCTGTGCAATCACCAGGTAGTGTTTTGGTCACAACAGTACAATTTTATAGCATATGGACAAGAAAATCGTAGCTTTTGCGGCGAAGCGCGATAACTTCTAGATACGCTGCAGTTTATGGATTGGAGTAGCGAAACTCACATGAGTTCAAGCTGGCTCAAGGTCCCATAATGGGCGATATAGAATTGTCCGTCCCTAGAACACTCAACTTCAAAAGGCCAGGCAGTACAACACTCGTCGGATGCCTCGTCGCTCGCCATGCCCACCAGCATGGCACATTTCATTTGTCTTGGCACATACCTGTTTTTTCTTAACAGGGTATGCCCATCTCGGCTGCCTAATTTCTTTTCTATTAAGATTGGCGTTACAAGAAGTCTCTCGAAGCGAAAATCCTGTGATGGCAACTAGAATAAATCAATTGGATAACTCACTCCTCGCAGCTACTGACTTCCAGTAAGTTTTCTCTTCCTTTGCACCAGATTATCATATTGAATGCCAGGAGCTGGTGAAAATTCCCCGGTCCTCGAGGGTGGCAGCAATAAAGAACGCCCATCCCATTTTCTGTACCAGCAAATTGCATAGGCGGCATTATCCAAAAAGGACAGTTTGGAACCAACGCGTCAAAATCTTCTTCGAAAACCGTAAAACAGGGGTTGAAGAAAGTGAATTGAAAGCAGATCGCACGGCATCCAATGTGTTGAACATCGTGCAAGGTCCTTCCTATCTACTGTTGTTACAGATGCATTCCTGCCCAATGTTCTTTATTTGTACTGGATCTCGTCAGTCAAAGTAATACCTCGATTGAATCACGTAGTGTATTCAAAGCCAGAACGTGCTCTAATATGCTAGATATTTGTTGGCTTTGGTGAGTAATTTTTTCTCACCGTGAACATTTGTTTTTACTTTATTTCGTTTTTTTTGATGTTTTTTTTGTTTCTTATCCACTTTATACACTTACACTTCTTATACACTATTAGGTTGTCCGGAAAGTTTTGAGAAAATTTCACACTTTTAGTTTGAAGAAGTGTAGCAAGCGAATGCCCCAGCAGAAAGTCATATATCAAGTGCTATGAGAAAGAGAAATGTTTGTAGATCAATACTAATGCTGGTTGGTATTATTCTCCATTGTTGGTATGATTTGACATTACCTGAAAAATGTACGAGCGCGCACGACTCCCAACGCCTTTTACTTCATCTTCACCGTTCTGGCTCCTCTATCGGTCAAATCGGGAATGAGGAACCGCCTCCGATGCTGGATAAAATGCGCTTCAAAATCATCTATACTAGGAGATCAATCGGTCTCTTCCATGGAAGTTTAGCGATGTTGCGTACGCCCCCTCATTCTCAGTACTCGCTTAGTTCTAGCTCCCACGCAAGGTAATCCCGCCCAAAAGGTAAGGGACATAGGATGGACAATATTTATTATAACTATGAACTACTATCTCTTATTGTTGTTGATAAGTGTTAAATGAGCTGGTTGAAATTTCTCAAAACTTTCCGGACACCCTAATATATACATTTTATATATATCGCATTTGAACTAGTTTCTTTTTTCTGTTTATTTCATTCGCTGATGGCATACTTACCATGCTTTGTGTGGGCTAGGGATTCATTATTTATCCTTTTTATTGGGCATAGTCCAAACTTAAAAGTTTGAGCGACCATGCACAAGACGGGTGTTGAATATTCCCCCGCCACCAATGTTTTCGGTGAGTGTGTCAGTCGCTGGAATCCGCAACTAGGGAAAATGCGTGCTTTTCGGATCGATATTTATACTTTACTTGCGGGCATTTCCGAATGTTGCGGATTCTCCACACTCACAAAATATGAGCGCAGCCTCAGGTGATGCAAGAGTGGTTCGGCCATCCCGTATATCCTCCTTTAGACCATGCAGTAATCCATGCGTATCATCGGGGTCATCAAATCGTGCACCATCGGCTTCCGCCATCTCGACTTCAAGCAGATAAAACACGTAATTATATATAAGAAGTCCTCCTGTATTGGGTTTCCTACGCTATCAGACCATCACAGCAGTCTAAAAAGAGGAAACCTTCCAAATTGTGGAAAAGGAAGAAAAGGTTAACCAATCTCGTTCTTCACTCGCACGCATTGTCCTTCCGCCTGGATTCGTAACTGATTATTGTATCGATTTGGCCTATACAATTACTTGCGGGTTCCATCTGATCTGCAACTGGTCAGTGTTTTATCCTCCTAGTCGCATCCGGTACTAATTTATCGTCTCGCGGAATGTAAGGCTTGGTTGGCATCGGCGGGAGCTGAACCGGAATCAAACCCACGAACCGCGCGCGTGGTAAGCGTGCCACTTGCCACTGCACCACCTCCGCCCGTTTATTGGAATGGCGGTCTATTTTTGATTAACTTCTCCTCACTGGAAATTTTACTTTCCGCTTGTACCGCTGTATGTTCTGATCTTCAGGGATCATCCTTCGCGTCTCTTGCTGTCCACTACAGATAGCATACGATTATTCGATATTCGTTGTCCTAGCCGAACTCAACAAGCTCTTTTCATTAATAAAGGCCTCACCCATATGGCAAGTAATAGATATAGGTACGGTCAAAATTCTTTGAGTTGTCGCATGAATTAAGTTTTTCTTTTCTTGCAGAACTCACATATTTGCTGGATTTAATGATGATGAAATCCATATATATGATAGCAGGCAACTTTTCGGTCCTATTCAACAAATCAAGATCCAGCCTGTAAGTGTTGACCGTATATGAACTTTGATCGTAAATCGTTTATCTAAAGGGTTTTCTTAGTGATTACTGTAGTTATTTTTTTCCGTTCCATGCGGATGGAGTCAATAACGGATGCACTGGTTTACTCTGTTTTGAGTTGTATCATTACGTTTCAATTAGTTACATCTTCTCTTTCTCGAAGTGTTCTATAATAGTCACTCCTTGCTTCCCTCAGAGCATTGTTTGAAGGATGGTTCTGATGGACTGAACTCTCTGCGATGGAACCCCTATATGCCTTATGAGTTGTTACTACATTTCCGAGGCTCTTCAAGGATACTTCGATGTAATGTCCATGAACTTGGGTTCGATCCATTTCGCGTGAGTTAATGGTCATTTTTTTGTTTATCTGGCTTAAAATTCTTCTATTCCCCCATCACAAGGAAGGAACCCATTTAATGACCCTGGTTTTGAATCTTATTTCGATCTATCCTGCTGTGGGCTCGAGGTTAATCGGGCAACGTTTCAGAGACGGGTTTCCGAGTCATTCAAGCCTGATGATATTTTTACTATGGAGCAGATTTGGGAGGGTGGCTTATCACCCGAAGATGTCGACCGGCGGAGTAATACGTAAGAACATGCTCCTTGAACCTCTTTTTTTCCATTCATCGATTGGTTTTCATGTTCTTCGGTCAATGGTTCTTTCAGATTTACTGGCGTGGACGACTGTTATCCCCTTCTGAGCTACGGAGAGATGTATGACAAATGTAAAGAGGATCAAGATGCACCAATGCCACTGTGCTGGATGACACCTGCACTTGAAAAGGCTTTTTATTTTGATGGACAGGATGACTGCTCTATAAGTACGGTGAGTGGATTCTTGTGTGCTCTTCTAATATTCGAGGAAATCGAAGCAATCCGTTCCCAGAAAATTCTGCCTCTCGACAGATCAGCTGATCTCAGTTATTTTTGTTATACCTATTTTAGCACTGCTTACCCCTACTACCCCTTTGTCGGGTTTCAGATTTGGTTTCCCCTCCTGGGTAAACTTGATAATGGTTACACCCCGGTATAGTTTGTGCTCCCTGAAGTTGTCTATCAAATCGCCTTGGCGCAGAGACGCCTGGCGCCCGCGCAACAGGTATCGGTGTTATAAACCAATTTTGGCGCCCCGTGGCACACATGCACTCGTTTCTGCGCTAAGCGAATGCGATTACTGCGATCAGGAGTAGAGCTGTCCGGAGCCCAGGTTAAGGATATTTTGAAATGCCTCGTCAGGCGTTTTGGCAGAATGAGTGTGATTTTCGACTTCACCTGGTCAAATTGTGACGATTCCCAACCAAATCGTGAAAAATTTTTGGTGGCTATTTTCAAAACTTAGGACAGTAAAGGGTGAGGGAGAGGTGGGAAGAATACTTCGAGGGACTTCTGAACGAAGAATTCCCTCGCAAGGATAGCCCATGTCCGAAAAAAGTTAAAGACGCGTATGTCCGCAATTTACCGCTCTGGATCCCTCTCTTTTTACAAATGTAGGGAGCGGGAATACGCCTGAGCGCCCATCTTTGTTCGAGAATTCGATTCTAAGACTCTAAGGGGTCCCACTTTCGCGGCATCTGAATAGGCACAAAGGCAGTGCTCATAAGTGGCAGGTCCGACGCCTCTCTAATTGTCCCGCCCACCGAAACTCAGTTGCTATTTTCTGTGACGAGTTCAGTTTTTGCATCCGCATCTTCTGGTATTTTTTTCCGCTATTGGATGGTATTCGCATTGGGTGACGCGAAGAAACGATTAGTGAGTCAGAGGTGATGGGATATCCCTTTGAGATAACTTGGTGACTGTGAAGTGAAAGTCACAATCCAGTTTTGCAATCGAGGGGTTTGTCTTTAACTTTCTGGCTCTACGAGGGATTGATGGAATGGTTCCACTCTGTCACTATAGCCTGCTCGAGACTGCGGGGCTACGCGCAGTCCGTTACTGGGCTGTTGTATACATTATGCTGCTTAGTAGCTTTAGTTTGATCTTCAACTTTAGGTGTGGCCCCGGGCTTTAGTTCTTCCATGCTTCCCTTCGTGGAAAAGGAATGAAGATAGAATTATAAACAGATATTTTAGTTAACATGTCTGTGATGAAATCACGTCTGTTGAAGGTTTTTGCTGAGCCGTCGCCGTCAGTGAGGCTGAGGCGTGCCAGTACTCCGCATGAAGCAGACGATTCCTTGCTAAGAGCAACAAAACTTCGTCGATGCTCAGATTCTGCTCTTAGTCAGAAACCTACAGGGTGAGTTAGGTTCTTGTGCGCGTGTTCAATTAACAAAAAATTTAGTTTACATTAATTAGCAGTGTAATGCGCTGTTCAGTACTGTATTGTAGAGTGGACTTAAGTTTAAAATCATCCGGTCCGGTACATGTTCTGACACCTCCGGTTCGAAATAATTCGCCAATGGAGTTAATTAGAGCCCGTCGGTTAGTCCTGGCAGGTTGCTTCTAGCTAGAAAAATTGTTTTTTCTGTGTCAGCGCTTCTGAGTAGGCGCTGCGAGTGTACTGCTTAGTTATTTTGGATTCTTAAGTGGTAGCAACTGGTTATGGTAACTTGTTTTGCAGATTTCAACTGCTGGCCACCACCTCATCATCAACGCTACTAAATCGGGTGTTGTATGAGCAAACACGTTCAAAGCTAATCGGTCGGCTATCAAGAAGTCAAGATAATTTGTTGAAAGAGGTGCTTTAAGCGTTTTTATAGAAATGAGTTTGTGTATTGATCTGCACTTGTCGTTTATTTTTAGCTTTTCAAGATTGAAAAGCTTTACTAGGCTTACCCTTTGGCGTAATCACTTTCGCCAGAGCCTCAAATGGACCTGAGGGCTGCGCGCGAACGCGTATTTTGATACATTTGCTGGGGCATTGGCCGTGAAACCGATAAGCGTTGCCCACTTCACTGGTTGACTGGCTGGCTTTGTGAGGGGCAGAGCTTTCACTAAATTCGTTTTTTTACGATTTGGCTGGTGAACAACTCAGGGGATTAATACAGGTTCTAGTATAGGGAGGTGAGCGAAAATGACCCTCTTTGAGCTCAAGGAAGGTCTACTAAGCGTTTGCATCAAGCTGACGTAACTGCGTGACTTCCTTTGTTGGGTCAGTCGCTTACAGGTCCTGGGGACCATGGTTCATCTGGTAGCGGAAGAGATAAGGAGTCCTGCTTTCTTGGCAACACCGCTGAGGTTCAACATTTGCTCTTCATACTGGGCCTTACAAGCCAGTTTGTTCGTCAAGGGCTGTGTAATATCAACCATTTCGGTTTGACGTATTCCGAAGACACAGGGATGGTAACCACTTCGGAAAGTAAAGATCTAACGGGCCCGCTTCCCGTGTTGTTCCTGCAGAATGTTTTAGGTGTATGATCAACGTGCAGAGTATCTTTTTTGCCTGATCCCTTCACTATCTGGGTGAACGAAATTGCTTTATGAAGATAGTTGCTGTTTAGCGTCGCAATTCGCTCTCCTGATGTTGTCACTAGAATGCTCACATGAAGTCATGGCCCAGGTGGAAATCGAACCTGCCGGTCGCGCTTCTAGGACAAGTGTGCTGTCCACTGCGCCACCAATGCCGCCCTTACTGTCCCCGCGTGCTGGCTCTTCTACCATAGCCTCACAGCAGTCCACGTTTAACTTGATGAGCCGGCAGTCCCGTATCAAGCCGTGAACCATGAGGCTGGAGGTTTTACGTGTTTTATCAGAGTAAGAGACGTTCCTGATGGCGTAATGGATTGTGCATTCGCCCGGAAAAGTTATAGTGCGGGTCAAATATCCGCCTCAGGTCAAGTCACTCAGAATTTTAAGGTAGATGCAAGGCTTTTCAAAGAATGACAGCATGCACATTATGACCTCCGTGGAGTGCTCACTACTTTAAGGTCTTTTTACAGAACGAAACTTCACGGCGTTCGCTGCTGCTAGCGCGATTGCGACGAAAATCAAGCAGTTCTACCCTGCTGGAGAGAGCAGTAGATGAGAATGGCATCGATAACGATCAGGTTTTGTTTTTGTTATGACCTTCGTGGTGTAGAAATGCGATGTAGTTGGAAAAGAAGTAGAGGGATCAGCAGCGGTGAGGAGCGCTGCAGTTGAAGCCCATCCCCAGCTCTTTGTTTGGGGCCCCTTATATGCCACTAGGGTAACAAAGTCGATCTCTCACAGATTCGCTTTTGTTTAGCGCTCGCCTAAACTTTTGAATGTCCTGGAGCTCTTTTCGTTTACGTGGTGCTGCTTTTCGTTGTTCTGGTTTTTCTCATCCAACGAGTGATTCAAAGCTGTTGTAGACTCCAGTTCCTGAACAAGTTCCTGTGCAGCACACAACTCAAAGGTCAGTGTCCTACGTGGCAGGTACTGCGAAAGCGGTCAACAACGATGACAGAATTCCTCAAGCGATTGACTGCCAAAGAGAATTCGAAAGAATTTGTACTACTCATAAGAGGAGGCTGTCTTCCCTTTTCGGCCGCCTTGGCATAGATTTCACCGATGCGAAAGCTTTGAGTGATTTGAAGAAACATTTGGGAGTTGTGTTGAACAGTGGTAGGTAAAAATAGATATACTTATTCTCTAGTTTTCTTCTGCTATGGAGGCCATTTTAATCGATAGTTGTGAATTTCAGAGCAAAATGGCGGCTCATCAACATCTCACTCTATTCGGATTTATCCTACTCGTGATTCTGTAACTGGCAAGAAAATCGATAATGGGCACAGAATCAAGGTTAGCTTTTAAGCGGTTGTTTTGAGCTAACCTAACAGGGGGGGGGGTGGAGGAGGTCACTGACTTATTCTTCAATGAGTGTCCGAAAGCAGTGTTTATGTCTGCTAGGAGGTGGTGGGAATGGGCCAGCCTCAGAAGTTCAAGGAGTGTGAGAGCGCTTCTGGCCAGGTCATTCAGCGTTCTCGGTGTGCCCAAATGCCTTCCCACAGTTCCTGCACCAATGACATCCTCCTGACCGGGTATGTGAAGGACAGTCGGAATATGACGCGAAGGAAGGCGTGGTGAGCGACGTCGCGTTCAGACGAGTTGTCCTGCCTAGCCTTTTACATAGGATTGTTTAAGGGCGAATTATGTTCCTAAAGTGCTCTCATATTTGTTGTGAAGAGTTGGACTCAGTCGAGTTGCCAATTTTTTGAGTTCGCAGCAGTTCTTTCGGTCGAAGTTGATGTCATATTTCAGCTTAAACATCCAATTCGCTCGTACGACTTTGCACCTATAGGATACAGTGGAGTATTATGTCTCGTAGAAGGTCTAGCTGGAATATCAAAGTTCATTTTTGCTCCAGTACGTTTTTTTCTATATGCTTTTTTCTGCCCTGTTATCCATAAAAGACATCTTGTTCGACTGCATTAGCGGTGGACCCTTTCGGGCGATTTCGCTGCCAAAGATATGCTCTAGCCTTCTTGACGGTGTGTGGATAAAAGCGTGATGCTTGTAGCAGCCTAATGTTACTGATTCTGTCCCCCATTTGATGCGCCATACGGCCTCGCGATGCGCTTTGCTCGTCTGCGTTTTCTCATTGATATAGTGTTCAGTAAGGCTGAGTGAGGTCGGTCAAGACGCCTTTCGAATTGATTCAGGTGTAGATCGTGGACCTTGAAGGAGGTCACGCGGGTCAAAAGATTATAAGATTAGTTAAATAGGCGGGATACAGTATCGAAGAAAGTTGCGCGTAAAATCGATTGTGTCAGCTGCGTGAATGCACACAGTTGAATATGCCGTGGCCGGTTTAGTCACCCGAGTTTATTAGATGCGCCTTTTGCACAGCTTGATTGATGTATGTTTTATCATTGACACAGACTTTTGCGAGGTCGCGCCGGGAGGGGAGGGGGGAGCTCTGGGGCTAGGCCAGGGAGCGCGAGCATCGCTAATGCCGCTTTCCACCCAGCCGCAGGTCCCGGGGGAGAACTGAGCAATGCTGTGTGCACTCCCTCTTCTACGCTGGTTTCACGCGCAGTTTGGAGCACTACATCTCGCTTGTTTCTCTAAACTTATAGTTTAGCTCACGCGTCTCAATTAAGCTTAGCGCTCGCTGTTGGACAAGCAGCTCATACCATGTATCTGGGCTGAGACAATTGAATCACTGGGCAGTTAACAAGCCTCGAGCTTCCTTGCCAAAAGAGTACGGTCTGCGGCTGCGGACCTGTTCACCTCTTACACGGAAATGGTCCACCTCTCATGTAATCTCATCATGTCTTCAAGTCTTCATCGTTTTAGTTCATCGCTCCTGATGAAGGATTCTCTATCAAGCCAGAGTTGGTCAAGGTCTTTGAAGAAATTCGTATGTGGGAAGCGTTTGACGTAAGTCTTCGCTAGAGCACCCAGAAAGAGTGGAATAATTCAATCGATTTAGTCTATTCCTTATAACCTGTATCAAACAATGAAACTGCGTCTTTACAATGGCATGGACAGGATCGCTGATCACAACGCGTTGTTATGTGAGTTTAGAGACGAAGCAGTACATCCATACTTGAAGCATAAATTTCTAAGCTGCCGGTTAAGCGATTCTTCAAGCGCTGGCCGAACATATTCCCAAACGATGGATGCAATGGATATTGAGTTCTGCGCGGAAGCAGCTTTGTTATCGTGGTAATTCATACTTATTGTGATTATACTGTGCATTTACTCTGTGCATTTACTCAATTTTATAGTACTTGTTAGGAGTAGGAGTCGAATGTATCATTAGAAATCCTGGCCTTACAGCCAGTCAGAGTCGCTGTTAGCTGCCAGCGCGCCTACGCTGGCTAGGTGCCTGGGACATGTGAGCAGGGTAGAACATTGTTGAGAGAATCCTACCGGAAAGGGGGGATGGGGTCGTTTTAGCCTTTGAGGAAAGTTTTTGCGATCCCTTGGCCCAAACATTTCGCAAACAGCCCACGGCGTGTTATGCCTCCTGAAGGATGTTCTGTTTTCATTTTCATTGCATTCTGATGGCATTATTCCATTTATTTTTTCACTAAATGTTTTTTTACCCTTGTAATCGCCAATATGAATTTAGAATTCGTTGAGCTGAGCGATTTTGATTACACGACCTCAGATGGTGACGAACCGCCAATTATAGACAGGATCCCTATGAGCAGTATAGGAAGCTCGTTTCCGCCAAAAATAAACGTCAAAGGGTAATTTTGGAACTGCTCTGGGGAAAATTTTCATTGTCTAGATGTTGTTACTCATTTCAGTTTACCTGGTATTCTACAGTTGTGTACGCTGGAAAAAGAAGAAGACGTTTCTTGGCAGAATTGTGATTCTAGTCATTTTGCTTTCATCAGAGTAAGTTTTTCCTACAGTTTGCTGAGTAATACACAGCTCTGGTACTATCAGCTTCAAGCGGATGTAGTGTAGTGGCAAGTGGCTCGCTTACTAAAGTATCGGTCCCGTACGGCTCCCGTCCAGGTCAACCTAGTCTTTACCCTCCGAGGACTGTAAATTGGTACCAGATTCGTCCGAGACTGAAAAAATTGTACATCGACAGGATCCCGTATGTGCAACGGTGATTCAGTTTCGATCAGGACATGCAGCAGAGGGGATCTAACATAATCACTTGTCCCTCGCATCAGTTATCGTCACGCTGTCGTTCAAGAGTTCACAGTTAGTGTGCCCATTCGGTTTTGTTCGCCCGAGACTGAAGTAATCGCGGCAAGAAGAGGGCGTGGCTATCTGGGGCGCTACGTCCAGTGAGGTATACTGTGTGCAGAGGAGTGTAGTGGGTGCCGAAAAACAGCTTGGCGAAAGTATCCTTCGGTGGTAGTCGCCGGGGTCCCATATCAATATCCGCTATTTCACCTTAGCGCATGGCTTTCCAGGGTGCGGCACCGAAAACATTGAGCAAGTGGTCGCACTGGTGAACGCCTTTCTTCACGTCAATGATGGCGTAACTGTAAAAAAGTGAAACCAGATGGGCAAATTAGCAAAGTAGCAATACTATTTGTTGAAGGTTGCACGGTCGCCAGTCCGAAGAATGATACTGGAACCGTTCTGTTTGCCAGTGACTGAGGACAAGATTGTATCGGACGATAAATTTGCGGCCAGTACAGATATATTGAAACAAATGCCTGTGATATATTTGTGTCTAATTAATGGAGATACGATACGATTCATCGAGGTAAACGCCATTTTGTTACCACGTTCCATGCTGAAAGTCCTTTTCGTTTCAGTACACATTATTTATACGACATAAGCTTGGGAAGCCTGTTTTTACGGACAATCCGTGCTCGTTCTTGAACGCTTTCTTCTTCTTCAGTACGATTGTTTCAAGGTTGGTATAACTACTTATCTATTACCATCATCGTCTTGAGGATACGCAGTACGATTACCTGAAAGGTAGCAAGATAGGCAGGTCCGCAGTTGTGGAAATGCTTCACTCTCGCCCACTCAGGAGTTCGTACTATGAAAGTTGATATCTTGTAATAGCTTTGTGTTCCTTATGAGTCCACCTGCTATTCAATCCTAGTGGCCAAGCATTGGTGAGAGGGCGGTGATAGCACGAGGCGAGTGCAGCTATGCACCCGCGAACTATGGTCTTGCGTATTCCTGGCCGTATGGCGTGTGCCACAGATGTGGCGCGTATCGAATGGCAGGTAGAGATTTGAGGAGCATCGGCAGTGTCTGACAGCTATCTCTCCACCAAAATACCGTAAAAAATTTTTTGCCGTAATTTCCAAGTTGTAGTTTACTTTTTGATCACGAATACGAACTTTCTTTCGGCGTCACCGTCATGTAGTAGGAATATGTATTTAATTGGCGCCATTACTTTTTTTGCGAACCTGTCAACCTCGCACATGGCAAGCATCCATCTTGAGCGTATAGCGCAGAGAGAACTGTACCATCTCCTCTGAGGATCCTGTCCCCTTGCCTGTGTGAAAAGAGTGGGCCAGCAGTCTGTCGTGAAGGGGGTAGTGATACTCATACGCCGCCTACGCTGTTTTGAACCGCGTTGCCACACGTCCAGCTTCACGCCTAACCACAGTGAGACGCACTCGCTGTCTGCGCCCTATCACTTCAGCTGTTCTCTGCTGTCTGTGAGTGCGTATTCGCTACGAGATCTTGGTGTTGACACAAGGGCTGCTCCTTGGGTATAGCGCGTGTACTTCGGTACCGAAACCCTCCAGCCCGTTTCCGTGCACTTTTGAGTGGAGAAAAGGGCAGGACACTGCAGCTAACGAATCCATTCACCCGATAAGAGGCTCCGAAGTTGGTGAGCGTACAATTTGCCGTTGATTTATGCGTTGGCTCTTTGGCTAGTTGTCAAGAAACAAGTAAATAACAGAAACAAATTAATAGTTGCACCATTTTAGGTATGTAAATAAGATTTCGTGTGCAACTAACAAGTCGACACCCAGTTATGTAGCACGTCGCCTTCGTCTTGTGGATAAAATTGAAGCTTTTATAAAGGAGCACAGTGGTAGGCGGCTCAACAAGATCTTCTCAGCGGCCCAGAAAAGGTCCATGGGTGGTTCATTCTTTCCCTTTCAGAGTCACCTCTGCTGAATCCACTATTCATTCCAATGTTGTTGCTTTTGCATGGTGAATTAACAGCTACATATCCAGAGAAGTTCACGAGGGTTGTACTCGAGAGCAAGGTGACTAGCTCGCAACTTTACGAGGAACTGGTAATTAATATGACATCATTGTTGTTTAGGCTATGCCGTTAGGTCTTAAAGTCGCTTGGTGCGTTAATCTGTTGAACTCCTCAAAGATGAAGGAAGCTTTCGATTTTCTTTTCCAACAGGTGATTCTTTGATTTTTCTTAATTGCTTCCTTCTGCTTTTCTTCTTCGGTCCTCATTTATCGCTTGATATTTCTAGAGCAAAGGCATGGACCGTTTACAGTTCGTTGGCCTTGGCCGGCATCCGGACTCACTGCATGTCCTTTCCGAGTGGGTATTTCTGTGGAATGCGTCTTGAACGCGTTGACGCGCGACGGCGCGCGGTCACGCTTGTCGATGCGCTGCTGTTTCAAAAGCACTCCAGTACTATATACGAGGACGCAGCCGCAGACAGCGATCATACAGCTGCCTCTGTTTTGCAAGAGTATGGGAGATTAGGACAATACCTAACCGCGCACTCGATCGATCGATTGGCACTGGTCTTGGTAAAGTGCAGAAGAACACGAGGTACCAGACTGTGTGTGGACTGCGCCTATCCTCCTGTTATCCTATACTCTGTAAAACCCAAACGACCGGTGCCGATCGCTAGCCGTCTGAGGCCGCGTTCGCGTTCATAGTGCTAGAGCGTCGTTGCAATTGTAGTGCCTCGACGCGCGTTATAGCGCATTGCAGCGCTTCAACGCGCTTCATCGCGAAGTCTGAACGCTGCTGAACGTGAAGCTAGTCAAAGCTACTTCTGCTTCAGTTTCTTGTATGCAACCCAGGATTGTCAAGTTTTCTCCCATCTTCTCGTTGCTGGCCGGTGTTTGGAAGAGGACCATCCCACGTTCGATGAGGTAATTTCAGATTTTTCCTAGAACAGCTTGTACTCTAGGGTATTTGAAAGTTGAACCCTTCTTGTATTCCAGGACCTCCTATCGCCCACTTCGGCGTGCCTTTGCGATCCTACTTGACCCTAAACAATCCTACTTAGAAAAAAAATTAAAAAATTTATTAGCAGTGACATCTCCCTCGGCACAAGTGTCTCGATCTGTTTTTTACTCGCGAATCATAACAAAATGACACAAGTGTCGAAAACTGGTTCTATTGTAACCCGGGATCCCCTTTTTGAACTATTGAACGTTGAGTATATTCAAATTATTCCGAAAAATTGGGGCAACAGCCTTGCAGCGTAGAGGGCGCTAATCTGGTTGACAGAATTCAAATGGTGTAATGCAAACAAACAAATTTCCTAAACGGCGGCCCTTGTAATGTTATACAATTCAGAAACTGTACTTTGGTCAACTTTACGCCCCTGAATGTGATTTATAATTTGTTTCCC